AGGAGAGACAGCTTCCTAATGATTATAATTTGTGGTTTTACCTGACAGTATTGTTCTCACAAAAATCTGTCTAATAGCACTATAAATTATAAAAACATTAATTAGGTCATTGGATAAATGGACATTAGTTCTCCAGCTACGTATAATGCATCCTTTGATGTATCCTGCTTAGGAGCTTTCAGTCTGTCCAGTATTTCCTTTTCTCAAAGTATATTATTTTTCCAATAATTAAAGCAGGTATTTTGCCACATTTCTTTGGTGTTCCTGTAGGAGAATAACGTTCTAGTTCAGTGGAAGTCACTGAAAGAGCCAGTTTCCAGGGCATGAAACCCTTTCATTTAAAAGGGCAAAGGTCGACTCAACAAGAAGTTGAGTCATGCCAAAAGCAGGACAAGTGTGTCCCCTGAGACAGCACGAAGGAGAGTGAGAAAGCGAATGTCACAAAGAGGAATTCCCTGCCTCAGGAAGGTGTTTCGATCTGGAGGGTTCTGTGGGTGGTGCTGGATCACCAGAGCCTACAGGATTTTCTTCATCAGTGCTAACTTTTTGGCAAGAATGGAAGTAGTGTTTAATCATTACCTAACTATACAGCAGTGCATATTCTCTAATTAGAATCAGGGAAATTTGTAATGCTAGTTACAGCAACATATCCTTACTGTATTTTCTCAGCTGTCTCCAATCAATAACAATATTGGTGGTCACACAGATCCCAGTGTGTATTTTATAACCATTCATCTTTTTTGTTGGTTTGTAGTATTAGAAAAAAGAGCACAAAATAATTAGATGTAGACAAAGAGGGAGGCTGAAATTAACAGGATTTGTTTTTATAGAAACTTTTGAGGGATTTCTCTTTGTTCACTAGGTGCCATTTTGCATTAGATTTATCAGCATCTTACAGAAAGCACATAAGTAGACATGTATGTGTGCTTCTTTCTATGTGTATGTGATCAGGAGAAAAGGAACAAGAAGTCAACAGTATCTCATCAGGCCGCATCCTCCAAAGTGCATCCATTACAGGAGAAAAATTACTTTAGAGAATTCACCTACTTTATTAGAAGGAAATACAGCAATGTACTAATATTATGAATAGGAAAAGTTGAAAACTATATAGTGCTATATGATATTTTTAAGACCTTTTCACTACATTTGCACTTAATATGGGTTAATTTACTTGATTTACACAAGAGTGAACCATAAAAAAACTCCATGGGACGTGGGCTGTGTCATCAAGATTTATGAAGCTGTTACTCAAAAGTGCTAACTGTTGATTGCAAACATGACTATGGGCTGTAGGTGCAAGATGCATACTAATAGATAAGGTGGATAGCTGAGAATGCATTCTCATTTCCTACTGAGCACCCTCTGTTTCCCTGCAATATAGTCCTTTGAATGTCTGAGAGTTTTCTCTAGAGGAAAGACCTCTATGATAGCGTGGTAAACTGGCTTTGCACTTGATGATAGGAAAATGCTTATAAGATAACCTTAGAAAATGACCTTCAGATTCAACAGTACCATAAGACACTATACTGCAGTCAAGTGTTTGGGAATTTATTCTGTTTTTATCTGTCGCCCAAAGTGTGAATGCTCATTCTGCAGTTTGTGTAAAGAGACCTATACAGCTTTCGTGTTGATGCAGGTCCCAAAGTGCTATAGAAACAGACGTTCCCTTAAGATTTTTTGTCGTAACTCTTTCTGACTCATATTCTCTCATCTTACATTCAGCCATTAACCAGTCAGTCAGTTATTAAAACAAGAAACTCTCCTCTTTTAGTCCAAACACCAACAATATTTCCTGGTAACACTCAGCAGACTTCTAGCCATAACCTGCCAGTGCATTCCTGTTGTGTAATGCGCTCACACATTCCCAGCAGATTTTTTATTTACTCTAGCAATGCCTAGACTAATTCACACACGGCACATTGTAATGCAAATGGAATGGTTAAAATAGATCACACGTCTCTCTTCCATCTCAATTTCAGTCTAATGTATCATTGCAGCTCATTCTGTAAACTGTTGAAGCCATCTTCATTCAACTGTAAACTAAAGAGACTAGATGTCTATCAGACTAAACCAAAACAGTCCTTGATTAATCACAACCTCTTGACCTAATGAGTGATAGCTGTGTTAAAAATGTTGTCATTATCTAAATGGAGTACTGAAATGTCCTGCAGATCCTAAGCAAATTGACTCTCTTCTATTTATAAACAACACTGGAAGATGAACTCCTGGGTTTATACTGGGAAAGGAACATCATTCATTTTTATCCAACATACCTGCTTTTAGTGATATTACCCACACACGTGGGTTTTAGAAAATCTTAACAACTGAAGTGGTTTATATGCTTTTAAGACTAATTTTGAGGTTTATGTGTACATTCATCACACTGGAGCTGGGTGCTCAATATCTACCTAAAATACATGGTATTAATAGTACATGTTAAAGTTCCTTCTTAGGCTTTCTGTTAGATGCTAGACATCATTAGCACTAGATATGGAATTCTGGCTTTCCAGGGTTTGTGTAAATGTTATTTGCTGGAGCTGAGGGCATTTTTCCAACAAGTAAAATGCACGTCTCTGTGTACACATGACAAAACAATGAATTCTTGAAAAGCCAGTTTTTAAAGCTATATATTGCCAGATTTTTTATAAATAATCTGGTCACATGCAAGTAAAGATGCTGTTGCAGAAAAAGAATCAAATGATGTACAGATTTTTTTCCTGTTGCTTTTAAAATATTGGCTGGCTCTTTCTACATGTTTTTCCAATGAAGCTTTTGAGAGCAAAGAGGCCTGGAGTGCACATGTTTCTAATGATTTATAAGTCTTCTTTTCCAACAGATGTCTATTTGTTATGATATTACTTTTAATTCCTATCAGGTAAAATATATAGTAGTTCTTATTCCTATTAAAAAAAAAAAAAGAAAAAAAAAAGAAAAAAAATTTAATTAATATATAGGTAGCTTTCGTGCTGAAAATAAATATGAGATCACGTACCTGCTAAGGAAACTAATTACAATTAAATGTAATTAAAAGAGTTTCATCATCAAAATGACCAGAAAAATCCATTCTACATTTGTAAATTACAACTGCTTTTAGAGCCTATGTTTACAGTGCTGTGGGGTGAATTAAATCTTTACTGTGGGAAGCCTTTTTTAGCCTACATGGGTCACATAGGTTGATCTGCAGGTAGGTACAGGCTCTCAGAGTGGTACAGATAAGTTTTTCTACTGGTCCCAGGGGCAGTATCACCATGTAGCCTGGGCTTGGAATTTGTCTTTTTGGGGTAGATGCTCTGAAACACTACAGCATCCTCCATCCTCGAGTCAACAAGAGTGTCATAATTTCAAGCTCTCTGACTGTGCAGTGGAGTTAGAGATTAACACCTCCCAGGGAGCCCTTTCACATGTTGCAGAAGCCCTTCCTATCTTTCCTTGATACTTTTCTTTTTTATTGCTCGAGGATTACATTAGCTTTTTCTGCCATAGTTTGCCCTGCAACTGCCTATAGAGACAATTATCCACTCTGACCCCAAAATCCTCCTTGGTTTTCTTAATTTCCAGGATAAAATCTCTCATCTCCTAAGAAGAGACTGTATTACTCATTCTCTCCTCTATATACCTGCCATTTTGGGGTATTAAAGCACATCCTGTCAAATTATGACCATTTAATGAAGTCATCCACTACACCCGGTTACAGTAGTTTTTATTTCTCAGTATTTTTTGCTTCATAGATCTCTAAGCACTGCTTTTACCAGCAAGGACTCTATGATAGTGTTCAAACCACTCATACAGACACCAAATAGAACTGAATCAAGAGGCGGTCCCTCTCTAGATTTTATATTTAATTAATAATTCCCTATAATCAGCCACACTTCATATGTATCTACAATCCTGTTTTTAATGTATGTAATCTGTGCTTTATAATGCTGATGTCAAATGGCCCTAGATCAAATACCTTGGAGAAGTCAAAATATGCTATAGCAACCCTCAAGTAGAAATAAATTTGTAAAGAAAGGAAAAAGAAATAACTTCATGTGATGGGGCCAAATCTCCATGAGGCCATAATAACTAATGTTAGCTTTATTTTTTGTCCTTAATTCTTTAGCGAACCACAGCAGGCCATTCCAGTCTTTTATTAATAACTCATCTAAAATTCCTCAGACCTAAAAGCATCTGTCTGCAGTTTTCCTAATATTTAAATTGTTCTAATGTTGAATATTTCTAGTCTTCTGGATTCTTGTAGTACTTGCTACATCCAAATTCTTCAGGTGGTTTTAAGGAATTTAGTTTTAGGCTACTGGTGTACCAGGAGGTTCGACTGAATGATCCTCAAGTCCCTTCTGACCACAATTTCTATGAAATCTTTGAAGCCAACTTTGACAGTAATACAAAGGAAATCTGTAAGGAATGATGAGCCATTCTTGACCAAGACTTTGCACTGTGGCTGTACATGCAACGCTTTTTTTCTTAGGATTTTACCTTCAGCATAGAAATTTCTTCTGGCTAAGTCTATTCTTTATAATCTTCTGCAGTATCATTAGAATTACAAGGCAATTGGTGATTTGTTAAACTAGCCTTCATAGACAAAACTAACTTTCATAGAAAAATATTTTCCGTTGTATGTTATCTGCACAGTAACATGGTCACAATGCTTCAACACTAATGAGATTATTTTTGTTTTATACTATCATTCCTTTACATTCATCACTGCAACATAGTAATAGAGATAGAGTTAACTTCTGGTTTGGTAATGAAATTAATTGTTCTTAACAGATTTATATCATAATACATAGATTATTATTATTATTATTATTATTTATATATAATATCAATCCAATATAGTATCAATCCAATACCAATCCAATAATATTGCATGTGTTAATTGTAATATATGTCCTATGATATATACCATCTATAAAATGTATGTTATGTATATTATACACATGTATATAATGTATATTATACACATGTAACGTAATATTATCTCTATTTTTTACTCCAAGGCTTACTGAAGCTGTTGTCAATAGTGTTTCAGAACTTTACAAGTTTTCCTGACCCAGCTTTGAGCAGGTAAGTTCAGCAAGGGTGGAAGTTTGTGCATGGATTTAGCAAGATTGCTGAATTCTTCACATAATTGCACAGCTACTGATGTATGTGCTGGTATGAAGTCAGCACTGCTAAGATTACACGGGACAAGCTGTTGCAATATAGGAAGTGTACATCTGGGGCAAAGGGCTGTTTATCTGCATGGGCTCAACCAGCCCTTACAGGCAAGATGCTACCATGGGCTGCTCTTGCCTCCAGGAAAGGTCCTCCCAAAACTCATCTCCAGCTCTAACATTTCAGGCTAATAGATGAGCTGACATCTGGTCCCCATTTTTACATTCCATTAACAAAACCAACTCAAAGCTTCCAAAAACTGGATTTCATGTTGAATTGGTCAGAAGATAATTTCTACTTTTCCTTTCTAAAATAATTTCCTTTCTAAAAGGTCCTGTAACCTCACATGCTGTAATTTGTCTTGAACAGATGATTCATTTAACTTATTTGGAAACATAGAAAGTACAATGTTCTCCAGACTTCCCAAATTCAGCAGTGGTGAGTGTGAAAGACCCGACGACTTCTACACAGAGTTCCCTTGAGGCTCCAAGATTAAACAAGACAATATTCAGACTATATGGAGGAGATGGTATTTCTGGGGCATCTGCGCCATGTTATGCCCCTGTGAAGAGCTTTTTCACAGACAAGTTAACTCCATACAGAAACATCTCTGGAGCATGTTCACATATGATACAGTTAATTTGCAGCCTAGATACATTTCTGAAAAATAATCAAAATTCACTGGTATTCTGATTCTTTGCTGTTGACGTTTAATCAGTGCAAGAACGTAATATTACTCCCACTTGTCTTTGTATAAATCTGGATGAAATCCACTTTTTTAAGACGAGTTAGAAGGTAGCTTACAGTCTTTCCACAGAATTGGAGTTGATCCTGCAGCCGTTTAACTTCATTTTAGCTCCACGATTTTTCTGATGGAAAGAACAGTTCAGGTGCAGACTGCGGGAGTAGAGCAAAATCATGTTCTCTATTACCTCCACATCTCTAATTTCAAGATCCAAAATTATTTGGCCCCCCACATGGTATCTGTTTCTGGAACTTATTATCTGCTTTGTTAAGTTCAGATGGCATTCAGATAAGGAGAATTTAATTAGGCATCTCAGTAATCATACATGCATACTTACTGCCTCAGCAGGGGGTGGCTTCTTCAAAACAAACCCCTTCACATTACCAAGGACAGCATGTTTTCCCTGACAGCTTTCACATTGTGTGTATGTATGTGTATGTCGCCTCCTTTTTCTCTGGAGTTCATATCACACAGTGTTTCCTCTTTGAAGATTTTCATGTTGTTTGGGAATGCCCCTACATAGAAAAACTTCCTGATCTTATGTGTTCCTCTGAGAAAATGCTCATTTTACTCTGATGCTCCACTTTGAAGATGGCCATAACATCAGAGGGGTGCCTCCAAACTGAAACGTTTCTCAAGCATGGGAGGACATTTCTCTAAGATTGTGGGGCCTATGTGCAGATGACATTTCTTTGGGAATCTGCCCACTGCAGAGGTGTCCTCACTCAACTGCGCTGTTATGCAGTTTACGGCGTCATCATATTTTCCATCTGAAAATCCAGGCAGAAGAGTATGTTTACAAAGTTCCATTAGAAATAGCCTGAGAAAGTCTTCAGTGGGAGGGATCCAAAAGTAAGTGGGAAATGAGTTTCTGGCTTGTACTGTTTTATGTTTTTCTATTCTCATATTTGAAGATCTGTTTCAAACCCTCTGCGGCAATTAAGAATCTGATGTCCAATAGATGAACTGACTGAACACAGAAGTTTTACTCAAATTCTGCTGAACTTTGGAGTGATAAAGAAGAAAAAAAAAATAGAATTGAAATCCAGATTCATCCCATACTGGAGAAAACAACCAAAATAAAACCTTGCTGTAAACATTTGGAGTGCTTGAAATATTTATCTCAGTTTGAGGCTGCCATCAATATCTGGTCAAATGAGGAAATCTATTGCATCATAAAATTCATAAAAGTGATAGTATAAACTTGAAACAACTTATTTGGGAGAAAACGGTTTGCAAAAGAAGCACAAGTGAAAACGTTTAGATTTGGCTGAAGTAGATACAAGCTTGATCATTATATGTATACCATACAACTAAATAGCTTGTGGGTGCATCTAAAGCCAATGTGAACCTTTCTGTGGAAAATATTCCTATATGGGTATGGAAAATAGCCCACTTAAACTATACTTATACCGAATATGTGCAAATAAAACCCAAATAAAGCAACCAAGTAGAAAGCATATTTCCTTAAAATTTCTGTGGGTATATTCTATGTAATTCTCATGGTTTTAGGGCAGATGGGATTATACTGTATTCATATTAATAGCTTGGAATAACCAGTATACAAAATATCTTCTTAAAATATACATTAAAAAATTACAGTGGAAAAAAAAGCACGTGTACCAAAGTTAGATTGGATCTATTGATCTATTGATTTAGTTTGCTGAGTAGGAGGCTCTGCTGGAATTACTGACTCTTGAATAAGTCAACAAGATATTATTTGAAAGACACTGGTTCATGGAGAAATAGATTAATTTCATCTATGACTGCTTTTGGAATAGCATTGCTTCCCATCAGTTAAGATTCTGAGCAATGGCTGCTTGGAGTAATAGGGCTGAAGTCAAGATACACTGCATTTTGAGTGGTTACGTTCTTGCTTCCCCCCTCTCACATTCCTCCTGTTCCCAGTACATGGCAGGACAAGATGAAACCTGGTGGAGTACATGCTGTCATGGCTCTGCTCTGTTTTTAATATTTCTTGTGCTCTGCGAATCCACATCTGTGGATATGGAAGTTTCTAGCTGTAATATATATATGGTAGCCTGAAGGGACAGAATGAACTTGTTTGTTTGCTCTAGTAGTGTCAGGGCCTTTCTTGAATTTACATGAGCCTCACATCTAATGAACTTGGTGCAAAATTTTTATGCAACAGATCAGACTTTTCAGGTGGATTTTGGAGCTGTGATTTTCCAGGTGATGTAGGTCTCACATGGGACACACACAGCCTTAAAGAAATAACATTCTTGTGTTAACTGCAGCTCAATGCTGTCAGTCTCCAGTTTCATTCTCATTCTGTAACAAAACTAAACAGTCAAATGATAAAAAAGGTTGACAGTTATCTGAGCCTGCTCTCTGTTGAGTGTGACGACATCTCTTTTAGAATTAGGATTTGCATTTACGCTTGCAAAATCTCCTTGTCTTAATCTGTAACTTTAAAAAATACACAGTGCCTAAAGACAAATGAACAGTACAGATATTTCACACTAATATCTATTTGTTCTATTTACATTTTGTATCATCAGGTTTACGAAAGATCTTAAATTTTTTACCAAGAACTAATTCCACGTTGAAATCTTTGAAGTTTAGGTGTGTTCCTCAGACTAGCTGTATGGGAACTGTTAGGTCACAGCCTGAAGCAATGATTGAGCACCTGGTGAAGGAGCATAGCCAGCACAGGTGGAAGCAATTCACCTGTGTGATTAGAAGGGGTGGACCCTTACTTCATTTAAGGGTTGGCAGCCACAGGGAAAGCTCCTCCATCTAGAGATCACCTTCATTGTAGTGTTTCTGGTCCTTGGGAAAAAGTAAGTAATTCTATCTTTAGTATCATTTGCTATCAGTTTGTGACCTCTGCCTTTCCTGGGTGATTTGAAACTTGTTTAAAGCTATATCTGCTGTTGCCTATCCTTACATAAGCACATGGATGATACCTTTCCAGAGAACTGGCAAAAAGACTAAGTAAATTTTTCTGGCCTGTCCTAATTCATAAGCAAACTGGAAACTCTCCCTAGTGTTCTTTTGGAATTCCTTTCCTTCAGTAATGTTGTGTTCATCATGAAGCAAAATATGGGATCAGTCAGAAACAAAAAAAGGGAGAACTTAAATATGAATTAATGAATATAATAGCTCACAAGAAGAATTTAATTATCTGAATGAGGATGGCTGGTGCAGGACAGAAACCAGTGAGATGTGCACAGGCAGTCAGAAATGCAAAGCAGGCAGCTTGTATGTTAGTTTTGCAAATGGAGGGTAGAAATTATGACCACGCTTACAGGATTAAAGAATGTTCCTTTTTTTTTTCCTTTATAGAAATTTCTTTATTCAAGCAGTGAAAAATGTTTCTAAACAAACAAAATCTAGCCTGTGATCCTGCAATAAGCTTTCAGTTTTACAGTAACCTGTGGCAAACATGTTCCGTGGATTCACTGTGTACTGCACATTCATTATTAAAGTATATATACAGTTCTTCTGTGATAAGATGGAATGGGCAAAAGGATCTTGAACCTCATGTTTACACTGACTGCTCTCCTCCACCCTGATAATGTATGGTACTTAAGACTGAAGATTTAAGCTTTTTCATGGATTGATACAAAATATTTTCCATGTTGTTTTCTATTCCTTTATTTATAATTGTAAAAGTTCTCCTCATTACTGCTGTTGAGTACTCAGTTGACATTTCCATTGAACTAGCCATGAGAACTACTAGATCTCTTCTTGAGCAGTAATAGCTGATCCAGAAATCAGAACTGAGAGCAGTTAGGGTTCTTTCCCCTGTGCACATTACTTAGTATTTGTCTTTCATAAGCAGTCTTATGGTGTACTGTGACCATCAACCCTACAAATTCTCTGGCAGAATTTCTGTATCTAACACTGACATGTTTGGAAAAGAAAGATTTTATTACTACTTCTTTATGTCTGTGGTGTGTTGCTCCTTATGATCTTTTTGGTCTGTTTTAATATGAGTTACCATTTGAATCTCTGAAGTTTATGATCTTCTCTATTTTCCTCATTGCTCCACATAAGCTCCAGTATTTGAGGGATTTCTTTTTACCCCGATTAACTGCCTTTACTCTAGCATATAGTCATGCTGTCTTTTTTGTGTGGTCCTTTAATTCTTGGTTTCTGAGAGATTTTTTTGGATACATAATATGTGATTATTCTGAGA